CAATGACAGCTTCAAGATGCCTCCTGTATGGAGAAACTAGTCGCATGCATTGCTCAGGTGTGATTTTGGCCCATTCTTCCACAAACAGTCTTGAATCTTGAAGGTTTCCTGGACCTCTTCTATGAACTCTGATCTTTAGTWCTTTCCATAGGTTTTCTATTGGATTCAGGTTATTTTCTTTCTCTGAAACCAACTGAGAGTTTCCTTGACTTTGTGTTTGGGCTCCTTGTCTTGCTGAAATGTCCAGCCACGTTTCATCTTCATCATCCTGGTGGATGGAAGCAGATTTTTATCAAGAATGTCTCTGTACATTTTTCCARTCATCCTTCCTTCAATTATTTGAAGTTTGCCAGTACCATATGCTGAAAAACAGCCCCACACCTTGATGTTCCCACCTCCAAACTTCACTGRTGGTATGGTGTTTTTGGGCTGATGTGCAGTGCCATTTGACCTCCAAACATGATGTGTATTCTGGCATCCAAACAGTTCAATGTTGGTCTCATCTGACCAGACTATATTCTCCCAGTATTTCACAGGCTTGTGTAAATGTTGTGCAGCAAACTTTAACAATGACCTTTTGTGTCTTGTTCTCCTTGTGCAAAGTGTCAATGGTCGTCTTTTCGACAACTGTCAAGTCAGCAGTCTTCTCCGTGATTGTGTTGCCTACAGAACTAGACTGAAAGACCATTTAAAGACGTTTGCAGGTGTTTTGAGTTAATTAGCTGATTAGATTGTGGCACCAAGTGACTTCAATGTTGATCCTTTTCACAATATTCAAATTTTATGAGATACTGAATTTGGGGGTTTTATTAGTTGTCGGTTATAATCATCAAAATTTAAAGAAATAAAACATTTGAAATATATCAATCTGTGTGTAATGAATGAATATAATATACAAATTTCACTTTTTGAATGGAATTACTGAAATAAATCAACTTTTTCATCATATTCTAATTTTATGACCACCACCTGTATATATTTTCTAGATGTCAGTTATATATCAAAAAATGTCAGTTGTATTTGTGGTTTGAAGCATGTGTTTTCCCTCTGAAACCTCTAAAATGATAGAATGATAAAATGATAGAATAATAAAAGATAAAATCCCTCTTTGTAGGTTGAGTCAACCCTTTCAGAAGCAGGAGTTTATGGCTTGCAGGAAGAAAGCAGGATCATTGGTCTGATCTACACTGCTAAAGTGAACAAGATGAGAAGGTACAATACCAAAGCTTTTATCTTCATGGTTTGCATTAAAAGTTCAGAAAATCAAACTTTTTTTTTATATTTGTTTTGGTGATTTTGTCTTTTGAAACCTCTGTAGTGATAGATCAAGAGTTCGTAGGAAGATTGCTCCATCAACCTCTGGAGACACTAACACTGGAAACACAGAGCAGGCATCTGTGGATTTCACAAAGGTTAGTTTTGGGAACTTGCTTTAAAATAAACCATCTTTCATCTTTATTTTTAAATGGAGCTCAACCAATTTTTCTATGGGCCATGTCAATCTTTAGAAATGCAGTGACAGAAATGGCACGATATTTTTTTCCTTTTGGGTAAATAAGAGTATATCTAATGCATATTTTAAAAGTGATTGCCTGATAATTTGTCTGTCTCTATTTTTTTAAATCTAGAGGTCTAATCAAATTGATAAAAACCTCTTTTGGATTTGCACATAACTCCGCCAGTACCAAAACACACGACGTGCTACTGAATTACACAACTACTTTGCATTAATCAAGATATATGATTAAATAACAGTAAAAAAATAAATAATAAATATATGCAGCACATTGTTGTAAGGAATTAATTTGTTAAGACATCAGGTGAGCATCAAAAGAGGGTCTCACAAGGAAAAGGGGCAATCTGCTGGTAAAAGACTAATTGGGCTTCATAATTATAAAATAAGTCATTTGTACAAAATAAATTTATATCTAAGGAGCCTAGTGTTGCCAAATATTTGATGAGAAAATATTTTTATTTCTTTATCTCTGTTGTCTGATCTTCATGTTGTCAAGAAATTAAGCATCCAGCCACGCAAACAGCAATTTGTTAATCTTATCTGTGTTTCCAACACAACACAACTCTATCACGTAGTATACTTCTCAAATTGAAGTTGGAGCTCAAATGTTGCAGTGTCAAAAACAACAAATAACTCTGGTCGTGTTTTCTGTAGCCTGCAGATGTTGAGAAGACCGAGACGGTTGTGGATGAGGCATTGGCACAAGCTTCTGAAAGTCTTACCCAGCTGAAACACATTTATAAGGTGAAAGCTTTACTGCATTAAAAAGTCTAAACTCTTCTATATTTAGTGACTTTGCTGTTTTTATCCTGTGTGCAGACTCTGACAGCTGGTTTGGCAGAGCAGAAAAAGAGAGAGCAAGCCCGACTAGAGATGGAGATCAAGCAGGCTTCAGATAAAGCCTTACATGCTGTTCAGAAGTGGTATGAAAATGAGCTTTCAGAAATTAGGGATCTAACGAGTAAACCGTTCGTGTGGATCTGACTGAGTTTTCTGAGGAAAAAATTGTATTAATTTCATTTCATGGTTTTCTAAAAGTCTTTAAAGCATCATCTGTCTTGTTGCTTGTAATTGTCTTGATCAACAGGAAGGATGAACAGCTCACAAACCTGGATGCACAGTTCTCCACCAGTGAAGTAGCAGTGTCTCAGGTTCAGGAGAGAATTAAAACTTTGGAGATTGCCATGCAGATGGCCAAAGAAGTACGTCGTGTCCCTTTCCTGGAGCAGTACTGCATCTTGGATAAGGTTTGAATTGTTTTTCTTTCATACATCGATTTTACACTCAGTGAACAGTTATATAAATGTTCAAGCTTGTTATTTGTATTGATAGTTTATGGATTTTGAAAGTCCGGGTTTGTAAACAATTGTTTTTTAATTGTACAAAAGAATTAATAACTGAATTATGCAATCTGTATTTGGTTATTAGGTCCTAGAGACGCTGCAAGCTCCTGTTGATGACAGTTCATTTACTACGAAAGACGTTGCTGTGGGTCCTGGACTGAGGTTTGTTTTTACACTTAATTTAATTCATTCTTAGTACTGTCATAGCAAAAAAAGTTAGTTTTAATTCTTTAGTTTAAGACACACAATAAAGAAATGACAAACATACTGTAGTTATTAGCATAAATAAATACAGGAAAAAAATCCACTTTTCATGAACAGCACGTTTTTATGGTCTGAACACAGCAAAAAGGAAGAAACAGTGTCTAGAAAAACATGTTCTTCTCACGATTCAAAAACCTTTCAAAGAACCACCTTCAGCCAAAAAGACTTTTAAATAATGACTTTCTGTGTAAGCTCTTCAGTCTGTGTCTTGTTACATCGTTGTTTCAGGTCCTTCAAACTTGCATGTACGGTGCCTTGTGAAAGTATTCACCCCCTTGAACTTTGCAACCTTTTGCCACATTTCAGGCTTCAAAGATTTTAAGTTTAAAAATTTTGTGAAGAATCAACAAATGGGACACAATCATGAAGTGGAATGAAATTTATTGGCTGTTTTAAACTTTTTTAACGAATAAAAAATTGAAAGTGCGTGCAATGTTTTTCGGCCCCTTTACTTTCAGTGCAGCAAACTGACTCCAGAAGTTCAGTGAGGATCTCTGAATGATCCAATGTTGCCCTAAATTACTGATGATGATAAATAGAAAACACCTGTGTGTAATCAAGTCTCTGTATAAATGCACCTGCTCTGTGATGGTCTCAAGGTTCTGTTTAAAGTGCAGAGAGCATCATGAAGACCAAGGAACACACCAGGCAGGTCTGAGATACTGTTGTGGAAAAGTTTAAAGCTGGATTTGGATAGAAAAAGATTTCCCAAGCTTTAAACATCTCAAGGAGCTCTGTGCAAGTGATCATATTGAAATGAAAGGAGTATCATACCACTGCAAATCTACAAAGACCTGGCCATCCCTCTAAACTTTAATCTGGAACAAGGAGAAGACTGATCAGAGATTCAGCCAAGAGGCCCATGATCACTCTGGATGAACTGCAGAGATCTACCGCTGAGGTGGGAGAGCCTGTCCATAGGACAACAATCAGTTGTACACTGCACAAATCTCACCTTCCATGGAAGCAGGGTTCCTGCAGGTCCTTAAAAAGTGTTAAAAGGCCTTGAATTCATCAATCCAAAAATAAGGCCTTAATTAGACTTAAAATGTCTTAAATCAATCTTCCAGAAGTCTTAAAAGTGTTAACATATTTTACATAGGATGATTGTAACTCATTTCAAATATTAAAGGGCCAACATTGTGTTTCTCATGCATATATTTAAATACTATACATTAATAAAGTATCTGTCACATTTAGCTGTTATTAAAATGCTGTTTTTATGTTTAAATAGAAAATAAACTTATCTTCTCATCACTTCCTCATCTAAATGCCTTGAAATTGGCCTGTCTCTTTAAGAACCTCCTCCTGCTTCTGTCCCGTCCCCATCACCTTTCAGGGGTGTTTGTTTCGCCTGTGCGATATGATGCAATTTACTTGGCATCTGAAAATACATTTCCTCAAAGGTATTTTGAATCTGAAAAGAGCTTCACTGAGTGAGAAGTAGTGTGGAGAGCAGTGGACAGTAAGTTTCACTTTCACTTTTGCTCTCTTAGTGCTGAGAGGCTGCAGGAGTTATGGGCGGGGTGTGTGGGGAGGGGGTGCGCTCTGCCATGAGGAAGTTCGGCTTAAAGACACGTCCCAGGGGCGTTTCTGGTCCCCACCTGTCATTTTCCTCCTCTGCATGGCTGCCTAAAAATGCTGCAGGATTTCTCAAACATGCATGAATGAGTCAAAGCAAGGCTTTGGGCATGTTTTTTATGAGAGTGTAATATTATAACATGATATAAAACTCAAAAAAGTTGATTTTACATGATATTGCCCCTTTAAAATAATTGGTAAAAATATATATTTTAAATATTCACATGCAGACATTCCCCTTTGACATCACTTCCTCTTATTTCACTTGCAAATACTGTATCTCAACAACTGTCGATCTGAGCAACGTGAAATTTGTTTTGTAATATGTTAATGTCTTTCCAAAAATGAATTCACTTTTCATACAAAAAATTGATGTCACAGGCACTTTAATGTTCCATCTACAACAAATTGGGGTTACGACCCCACTGTGGGCCATAAAACTCCAAATTTTGGGTTGTTAGAGGATTTCCAGAAATTAAATTAAGTTTAAAACTGACTGCTAAGAATGTTTCTGCTATAGTTAGATATGGATAAAAACAGTTCGTCTTTAGCAATATTTTAATAATTTAACCAAAAATACTTTTATGAGTTTCTGCCACAGTTGTTATTTTTTTGTCGTTTGTGTTTATTATGAAATTGGTCTTAAATTTAATTTCACTTGGCATTAATAAGTCTTAAAAGGTCTTAAATTTAACTTACCTTAAACTGTAGGAACCCTGGGAAGAGTGGCAAGAAGAAAGCCATTTCTCAAAGATATCCATAAAAAGTCTTGTTTAAAGTTTGCCACAAGCCACCAGGGAGACACACCAGACGTGGAAGAAGGTGCTCTGGTCAGATTAAAACAACAAACTTTTTGGCCACAATGCAAAACAAGATGTTTGGCGTAAAAGCAACACAGCTCATCACCCTAAGCACACCATCCCCACTGTCAAACATGATTGTGGCAGCATCAATGTTTGGGCCTGCTTTTCTTCAGCAGGGACAGAGTTGATGGTTATTATTGATGGAAAGATGGATGGAGCCAAGTACAGGACCATTCTGGAAGAAAACCTGCTGGAGCCTGCAAAAGACCTGAGACTGGGATGGAGATTTATCTTCCAACAAGACAATGATCCAAAACATAAAGCAAAATCTACAATGAAATGGTTTACACAACAAGTAAAACAACGAAATTAAATTACACAAATAAACATATCCAGGTGTTAGAATGGCCAAGTCAAAGTCCAGACCCGGATCCAATTGGAGAATTTGTAAAGAGCGGAAAACTACTGTTCACAAATGCTCTCCATCCAATCTGACTGAGCTTGAGCTGTTTTGCAAGGAGGAATGGGCAAGAATTGCAGTCACTAGATGTGCAAAGCTGGTGGAGACATACCCTAAAAGACTTGCAGCTGTAATTGCAGCAAAAGGTGGCTCTACAAAGTATTAACACAAGGGGGCCGAATAATTTTGCACGCTCAGTTTTTCAGTTTTTTATTTGTTAAAAAAGTTTAAATATGTTCCACTTGACGATTGTGTCCCACTTGTTAATTCTTCACAAAAAAATTAAATTTTATACCTTTATGTTTGAAGCCTGAAATGTGACAAAAGGTTGAAAAGTTCAAGGGGGCGGAATACTTTGGCAAGGCACTGTATTTATTTTTACACAACTGTTTAAGATCTGATCACAGCATTTTCAGTAATAATATCTGCTGTAAATTTTTGTATATTGTTTAATTTGTCTAATATTTAAAATTATTAAAATGATCTTCTATTAAACACCACACCATCATAGTAGAAATTAGGGGTGTAAATCACCAGCTTTATCACGATACGATATTGCATCTATGTTTGGATGACGATTCGATATTTCTTGATATCACAAAGTCTGTCACGATACGATTTTGATTAAATTCAATTCACATGTCTGCAATCAATATAATGCGATATCTTATGCCCATCTAACACAATGACTTTGTTAGATGGGCATACAGTTGTGGTCAAAAGTTTACATACACTTGTAAAGAAACATAATGTTATGGCTGTCTTGAGTTTTCAATAAGTTCTACAACTCTTATTTTTCTGTGATAGAGTGATCGGAACACATACATGTTTGTCACAAAAAACAGTCATAAAATTTGGTTCTTTCATAAATTTATTATGGGTGAAAATGTCACCAAATCTGCTGGGTCAAAAATATACATACAGAAACAAAATTGGTCAATTTTGGTGATGTAGCGAGTTGTGT